TTTAATAATTTGAAAAAAAAGCTTGAAAATTTCACGCTATGGATAGATGAGGTAAACCTATTGATGAAACTCTGATGACTAGGTTCAGTCTACTGAGATAATAGCCTGAGATTTTACTCTTTTGTTTGGTTTCAGTTAGCTTTTTCCTTGTTCAACCATCTACATAAAGAACGGAGAAGCGAGTCATGCACTAGTGTTTTCATATTTCAGACTGAATATTTTCGTTAAGCGAAACTCTTCTGTTGCAACTCAGGCTCATTTTTTCATGAGTTACCGTTTTATTTTTCTGAATAAAACGTTTTTCACGCAAAAACGTTTCCTAAAAAATTTTCTTTAGCAATCTCTTTCAAATCTTTGTATAAACAATTTCTTATACCTTTTTGTTATACTTAGACTAAATTTTTGCACACAATTTTTCATTTCTAAATCTTTTCTTCAATTTTTAAGCTGAAGCTGCAAAATTTTGCCCTACGTCTGCAAATTTTCAGCTAACTAAAGTTTTTTTTCAAACTCTTTCGAGTCTTGTTATTGTTTTGTTATACCTTTTGTTAGACTTAACTCTAAAAATTTGCCCAACTTTTTCTTTTCGTTTCTAAAAGGTTCCATACGCAATTTGGAGCAGACATTCTAAACTTTTGTCAAAAGCGGATCTGCCAAATTTGTCAAATTTAACAATATGTATCAAATTGACCCATTCAACTTACTGTAAAAATTTAATCAGTTATTTGCTATTTTAAGATTAGATTGGCACAGACGAACGTCAGGAACGCCATTTGTCCAGATTGCAGCTTATTTGCCTTGAAAAACACTATGCGGTTGTTCGCTTGAGAACTTTCAACTAATTATCACTCTTATGGTGAAAAAACAAAGAATAAAGACAAGTCAACAATTTAGATTAAACAGAGTAAAACTAGATGTGTTACTAGTTTTTTGGTGTTCTACAAGTCCTCAATTTTCTTTTTTGGATTTGAAAAAAATTTCATATCCTATAACTATTTGATAACAGATAATTCCTAAGACGACAGATAATGTCTAGAGTTTGTTTATCAGCCTAGCAGGTATATTTTTTCAATACAGATCAACTTTTTGCAGCTCCTGGGACAGTTTTGAAATCTGAATTTTTTTGTGGGATACGTTTCTAGCTTACATTTTTTTGATTAAAAAAATGTAAAATTCAAGAGAAAAAACCACAGCCTTTTGAAATTAATCAAACGCTTCTTTTTTGTTGTTGTTGTTCAGTGTATACGTGTTTTCTTTATTCAATCACAAACAAAATATAAACTAAATGGTTGCAACTTTTTTAAAATGAGTGGAAAAAAAAACACGTGGCCAAAAAGTCCAGGAAGATTTGTGAGCAGTTTTTCACGCGTGTGTGCGTTAACACATACTTGCTATAAAAAGTTCCTGCTAAAGAAAAATTATGAAACATAATAAGAATCCATCTGCATAAACAGAGAGCACGCATGGCAAAAATTTTCAAAATTAGAAAGGAAACATCCTTCAGAAATGTTTAAGAAAATTGTAAGATGGAGAAGTTTTCCTACCAAATTTTTTATAGTAGGAAAAAAATTAATGTAGTGGAATTTTTTGTGTGATGCTCAACCGGGCAACTTTATTCAACTTTCTTTTAAACTATTTTTACCTGTTTCCTGTTTTAACCCATTGTCTTCTTCTGAAGCGGGTTTTTGGGTAACTGATCCAAAAAAATAACTCCTCCTGAACACATTAGTTTTGGATTCACAATATCTGTCTATACATGTTTTATAACTGGATAGATCTGGATAATTTTCGCATTTTTGGTCAATTTTCTCCCTTGATTGTGTTGTACATGATTTGTGTGCAATATAGCTCCGCAGAACTTTGCAATTGTTTGATTCCATACGATTGCAATTAAAGGATTCCCCAACCGACCAATAAATAACTAGCAATGGAACTGTGGTTACTAAAAAAATAAACAAGATAACTATTTATGAGTAGATTAGATTTCGATGAAGTTTAACTCAGCACCCACATCAATCACTAAAAAGCACCCTGTTGCAACCTAACTTTTGTAAAACTTAAAAAACAGGCTAAAAAATGCGTTTGTGGGCACTTTTCGGTCAGATTTGACCCAAATACCGTGATTTTTTCTTCAATTTTTTTGCCTGCGGTTCAAATAGTTTGGCCAACACGTGGTCCTCATTTAGTGTTTTGTGAGAGCTTGGAAAATCAATTTAGTCGACTTAAAAAGTAATTCGAAAAATTATTTCCCTTTGGAGTTTTCGTTAGCTGTACCAAAAAAGTGAAAAGTCGGCTGATAGATTGATATACTAGCACAACATTTTCAGGCTCTTTTTACTCCACTCTCACCCCCTACCGACTGGGGGGATTTTCACAAGTGAATTTTCACAAGTGTTTTTCTGCTTAAATTGTCCGTTTGTTTCAAAAAATGGCATACGGACTAATTAGGTCACGACAAACATATTTTCATACTAAAACCTTGTAAAACCAATCTTTATACCATACAAATAATGATAAGGAGAGTCGGGGGAAAGAACAAGAGCCCTTTTTGCAATAGCAAAAAAAACTTAACTAATATGTGAGTTATGATTTTTTTCTATCGATCTTTTCCTTCATATTTAACAAAAGCCGCAGTCTTGACTTCCAGTCAAAACAAGTTCAAGTTGTATTTGAATGCAGACTAAAAATCCAAATGGGATTAAGTACAAACTTTATTTTCAGGCAGCTCGTAAAGGCTAAAAAAAGCTCAACTCTGTTCATTCTCTGTTCGTAAAGGCTGAAAAAAGCTCAACTCTCCCCCAACCTTTTTTTCATTTTTCTATCAATTTTTCTGTTATTGTACTTAATTATATTGCTTAAGAAGTTAGTTTGTTCACATTGTTTCAATTTTCAAAAAGGAAACTAAAAGGTGGGGAAATGAAAAAAGTCTATTTTTGTTAATTTTTTGGGAGAGTATAAGTGGAAATAATCCCTTTTTTGCTTTTTACTGTGACAATTTAGAGTTACTTGATCCATTTTCAGCTTGCAAAATTCCTGGAAATCGAATCTGAAAATCCGCCTACAGTGAGAATAATTTTGCTTTTTTCAAATTGATTGCTCGAAAGTTTGGAAAAAAAGACAAGATGAAAGCAAAATAGCAAACCTGATTTGATAACCAGCATCATATCAAAAACAAAAATTGTCAAACGCTGAATTGAATCGCTGAATTTTGCGAGACTCGTGCAAAAAAGTGGCAATGAGATAAATCTAGTTTCGTGTTTTGAGATAAGTTTCATGTGATGAATTTTCACTTCGCATGTGTCTTGTAAATTTTAAATCAGTTGGTGTCTCCAATTTTTTTTTCTCCGTCGATGTTTTTTTATAAAACTAATTGATGGCTAAATGAACAGTTTTGAAATATTTCCTTATTTAGAAAACATTATTAGACTACGAATTCCTTGAACTTTTCTTATAAACATTTTTTGAAATGTTTGGAAAGTTAATATTTAGAAAGTAGGATAATAGTTTCAAGTTTCCAATCGGAAAAAGAAACAATCATCAAAACAAAAATTTACAGCTTTTGGGCCAGCTTTACAGCTTTTCAAGACAATTTGATGAACATGTCTTAAAGGCCACTTTGTTGAAGTCAAGTTTATTATTCATTAGTGCGGAACAAATCATGCTATTATTAAAAGATTTTACCGCATTTTTCTTTAATTCATGTGAGACAATTCATGTCATGAATATCCTCGGGGGAGGGATATCTTATTTGGAACCAAAGGGGAAGGAGTTGAGCCAAGTTTTTTTGTTGTTGTTGTTGTAAAACAATTAAAGTGGTCTTAAATCTTCTTTTTTGGGGTTACGAGGGCAAGTTTCACCGCTGGTCTCGTTAAAGTACAAGGGCTGTTTTCAGTTTGCACGACCGCGCGATGCCATCCGAGCCGGTAAAAACTTCTAACACTTGACCCAGTATCCACACGAGGTCATCTTTTTCGAGTGGTTCCTCGGGTTGCGTCCATTTAGTCCTTCTTATGAGAGTCGGAGCGTACTCTTTAAGTAGACGCCTCCAGAAGCTGTCAAGTCTATCTTTTGCTCGCTTCCAGGACTTGTTGGACGGTTTATTTTTAGATGCTTCGTAGAAGGCTGCTGCTGGAGCGTAGACGAATGGACGGCCCATTAAGAAGTGGTTGGGTGTCAGTGGAAGGTCGTCGTCAAGGTCGCTACTGACATGAGTTAGCGCACGTGAGTTGAGGATTGCCTCGGTCTCGGCTACGATAGTAGCAAATAGATCTCTTGATAGTCGATCAGGACCGAGATTTAGTAAGAATGCTCGTTTTTTCAATGAGACGAGTCGCTCCCACACGCCGCCAAAATGGGGGGCAGCCGGAGGATTTAGGCGCCATCCAACATTGTGGATTTGTAGAGTTTCAGTTAGGGTGGTTTCGTTGAAGTTGATTGGTTCTGAGCGTAGTTGTTTACGCGCGCCGACGAAGTAAGTAGCGTTGTCAGAGATTAAAAGCTTAGGTGTGCCTCTCCTAGCAATTAAACGTCTAATTGCCATTATACAGTTGTTCGTAGTAAGGTTGTCTGTCGATTCCAGGTGAACCGCGCGAGTAGAGAGGCATGTGAAGAGGCAAATATAGCTTTTTCAGTTGTATCCTTTGTTGCTATGTAGAATGGCCTGATATAGTCACTTCCTGTGTTTTTGAATGGAAATGGGTCGTCAGACGGATCGTCGAAACGAGTTGGCGACAAGTCGGCCATGAGTGGATGTAGCCCTTTGCCTTGGAATCTTCTGCAGAGATAGCAGTTATGTCTTATCTGTCTGAGTGTTTTTCGGAGCCCAAGGATGACAAAATTTTGTTGCAGGTAGTTGCGAATGTACTCAGTGCCGTGGTGCATGCAGCGGCGATGAGCGCTTTCGATCATCATACGCACAATTGGGTCCTTTGCGTTAAGAATTATTGGATATTTTGTTGCGTCCGTTAAAGGTGAGTTTCGTAGACTTCCTTGCGCGCGAATTAATGAGTAGAAATTGTGGTGCATCCAACCAGAGCTTTGCTTTTAAGTTCAATTCCCCGTGTAGCACTGTCTGCTGTGTTGAGTCTACCAGGGATGTGTTTCCATTGTTCGGCTTTGCATAACGTAAGTATTTCACACATCTGTTTGCGCAGTAAGTTTTCAGTAGTGCTATCCGTCCAAACGTGAGTGTAGTGGGGCTTTAATAGCATTTCATCAGTAGCGAACTCGCATAGCCGAGCACCCATAAGGGCGGCTTGTAATTCCAGTTTAGGAATGCTCTCTTGGTTCAGTGGTGCTACCTTTGTTCTGCCAATCAAGAAAGTAGTGTGTATGCCAGAGCTACAAGCAGTTCGGAAGTAGATGCACGTAGCCATTGCGTATTGCGACGCGTCGCAGAAAACATGAAGTTGTATATCACTAGGTGACAGCTGTGGACCAAGTAAGCGAGGCAGTCTAACAGGGGGTACTTGTTTGCATTGGTCAACCCATTTGTCAATTATCGGAACAAAGTCACTGGGCACAGTTTCGTCCCAAGAGATACCAGACTTCCACAAGTTTTGCAGAAGAATTTTGAGTTTTATGACAAACGGCGCTAGGATGCCTAAGGGGTCGAAAACCCTTGCTACTGTAGAGAGAACTGTTCGGAGTGTAGATGATGTAGTAATATTTAGCTTGGTTGTTGGTTGCACGAATATCGTATCGTCAGTTGTGTCCCATTTGACAACCAGAATACGATGCACTGTAGCATTAGTAGAAACTTCGCCTCCATCAATGGAGTAGATCGCGTCATTAGTGTTAGATACGAACTTAGTTAGGTTGAATCCCCCCTGTCTTATGGAGGATTTTAGTTGCGTAGTAGAGTCTCTAGCCTCGTGTGTCATGTTGAACGAGTGAACAAAGTCGTCCATGTAAAAGCTTTTGTGAAGCAGTTGAGCAATAATGGGTTTGGTTACGCAGTAATCGGCAGCTGTTTGATGAAGCGCAAAGATGGCAATGGATGGTGAGCATTTTGCACCAAAGATAAGTCGCGTGTATTGGTATTGTTTGATACCATTTTTAGTAGGCCAAAGGAAGCGAAGCGCTTTTTGATCTTCATCTCGAATACCTATTTGCATATACATACCTTCAATATCCGCCGATACAGCCACAGGTTTTTCCCGGAATCGTAGTAGAAGTCCAAACATGTTGTTCAGGAGGTCAGATCCAGTTTCGAGGCAAGAGTTCAGCGAGACGCCCTTGTAGGTTGAGGCAGCGTTGGCTACTCTGCGTACCTTTCCGGGCTTGTTTGGATTCGTGACAGGTTGATGTGGGAGGTACCAAAGTAATTCAGGTTGTGGGTATTGGAAAGTAACGGGCTTGACGTAGTTATTTTCCAGGTCGGTAGTAAGCGATTTCTCATAGAGTTGCATTGTTTCAGGGTCTTTTCTGAGCCGTTTTTGTAGCAATAGCAGTTGAGCTTTAGCTACCGGATAATTGTTTGGCAATTTTATTTTGTTTTTCCAGAGTAGATTTATTTTGTAGCGATCTCCATCGTGCTCAATACTTTTTTCCATAAATCTTAGTTTTCGTTTGCTTTTATCAGAGTATGTAGCTTTGTTATCTTCCTTGATGCCTGATCCTTCTACTTTCCAGAAATTTTCCACTAAATCAGTGAGATTAGCGTCTTCTTGATCATTTAAGTCGATGAAGTTAGTTGAGTGTGAATTTGATCCGGAACTATTAGATTTCTGGTTGAGTGGGCCAGTGATCGTCCAACCTAGTAGGTTTTGTACAGCGTAAGGGTTGCTTGTAGGGCCTTTTCTAATATCGCGCTCCGCAATATTCCAGAAAGCATCTACGCCAAGCAAAATTTGAACTGTGTTGTCGCCTAGTTCAGGAAAGTTGACAAGTCGAAGGTGATTGTAGAGTGGGCTAGTTTTATTAAGGTTGTTTGCGTCGATAGCGTCAAAACTCAGAGCTTCAACTGAATAGACTGATTGTAGCGTGAAAGTAGGTTTTGTAGCGTTGTGTGGCCCGATACTAAGCCGGATCAGCGAGGAAGACACTTTGTCCTTACTGACAGCACCTCGTACGCTAAGCTGTAGTTGTTGGCTTGGTTTGTACTGAAGTGTTTCATCTGTTTTGTTGAGGATATATGAGCAGCTGCTGCAGTTGTCGAGTATGGCGTAGCAATCTAGTTTGATGCCATTGTTAAACAGTGTTACCGGCATAAATTGTAACTGATTTCTGATGTTGTTCATTTTTTGGATTGGATCCTCAGCTTGTTCCGAGGGCTTGGTTACTGTAGTGCCAAGCTGCATGTTATTTGATTTTTGGTTGTGCGTTTGAAACGGTTTTTTGTCGATGTGTAGAGTTGAATGGTGTTTCCCTCCGCAGTTGTTGATGAAACATCGCATAGACGATGTGCATTAACTAAAATCTGTGTTGGCCTAAGCAGTTGAAGCACAGCTTATGTTGCTTCACCAGCTCTGCCCGTTGATCTACGGGAAGTTTCAAAAAGTCCGGACTTTTTCCAAGGTAGTGAACTTGGTTATCTATTGGACATGTTAATGTTGTTGGTCTTGCTGATATGCCTGAAGATTTGTCGTAGTTTTGCCTGGACATAGAAGTAAATTGGTTGGGTCGGCTGTCGGGTTGTTGTTGCTTCATAGGTTGGCGATTTCGTCCCACTTGATTTGAAGTCGACGGCTCTATGTCCAGGTTCTCGCATGCTCGCGAGTAGTTTTTGAGGTACTGCGTCAAGTCTTTGAGTGTAGCATAATCGAGATCGTGCAGCACGCAGTGTTCTTCCCACTTCATTAGTACTCTTACTGGGAGTTTTGATCGAGCAAGTCGGGTCAGGTTACTAGAATTTAGATCAGCGGTGTAGCCGTTGAATTCGAAGTTGTGGATTAGTTTCCGTAGGAAAGCAGCGTATCTTATAAAGCCCTGTGGTTCGCTTAGTATCAATTTGTCAAACTTCTCAAGTTCCCTGATGAACGCTGACACCACATATTTTGGGTTACCTTATCTACGCACTAATTCAAGTATTGCATGTTCATACTGAGAAGAATTGGTTCCGTAGCTCTCTATTAGAGATTTAGCATTATCAGTGCCTAATGACTGCAAATAAGTTATTTTTTCAACCGGGATTAGGCGTGGATTGTTGCCAATCGCAGTCTGGAAGAGTTCGAACCAGTTGTTACACTCCAGTGGGTTGCCGTCAAACATTTGTAGTTTTAAATCTGGTAATTTGAATCCTTTCAAACTGTAGTTGATGGCAGTGGTCGCATGACTGGTAGTGTGGTTGGTGACCTGTTTTTGTTCATTATTGAAAAGGCTGTTGCGTAGTTGTTCGTGTGATTGTAGGATAGTCCTATGATGGTCGTTGAAGTGGTTGGTAACGAACTGTTCAGATGTAGTAGCAGGACGTTTTGCAATTGAAGTTTTTAGCAGACCATATCGGTTATTGCCAGTTGACATCTGGGCTTCGTGTCTTGAGTTATTGTTCCAAATGTGATTTTCATTGGAAACTGGTGGAGGCGAGAAGTTGTAGCGTAGAGGAGCTCGAAAGTTGAAAATACATGGGCTTGCAGACGGTGAGACTGATCTGAAATCAGTTGTAGAAGTAGTGATGACACTGTTGATTGTCTGATCCATAGCTCTGTTGCTTCCCGGTAGAGGTGGGAAACTGTACCGCTGGGGAGCGTCTAAGTCGAGTGTACCCAAGCAGTAGGTGGATGTGTAAATGAGACGTCGGCAGCCGTAGTACTGATGAAGTTGTTGGCCAAGCTTTCAGTAGTATTTGAGCTTCTTAGTGGTACACTGGCTGTTGTAGATGTGCCTTGCACTCTAAGTGGGCTGTTTGACCTTGTGGAAACTAAACCATCGTTTGTTAAGACCTTTTCGTATTTTCTAACATTGATTAGTAGGTCGCACTTTCGTTTTCGTAGCGTTGAAGCAGTGTTGAGGCAGTCTTGTGCTTCCTGAGTAGAAAACGCGGCTAAGTCGTCTGCGAGCGTATCAAGCAGGTCAAAACAAGTGGTTATCTCCTGAAAACTGAGTTTAAAGTACTCGATTTCGCTTGAGTTGGCTATTTGCCTCGTTACTTCTTCCTCAAGCTCCTCGAAAGTACTGTAGCGGCGTCTCCATTGATTGAGTAGCTGTTGTAATGTTGGCTTCGTTGGAGCCTTTCGAGAAAGTAGTACAAAGAGTAGAAAAAATGTATTAAAAGTTAACGAGCTCGGATGGCAGCGATCGCAAAGTAGTTCCGGTAATGAAGCTTTTTTGAGCTTTCTCAAGATTTTTGCTATAAGTTACGTTTAATTTTCTGTTAAAGTCAACCAGCCATAGGGTTAACCCGGTGGTTAATTAAACAAAGTGAGCTACAGCTCACGCAGTTATGAGCTTTTTAATTATGGTTAAGGACTAAGCGGTGAATATATTTTTTTTAATGTTCAAATGGGTAAAAAAATTTTGAGACTTTCACAATTTTTGTAGAAAGTTTTGTAGATGTGGCTAGTAAAACCTTTTGTAGTTATGGGTTTAAAGAAAACGTTTCGGAAAAATGGGCTTTTGAAAATTCGCAGCAGCTAGTTTTGGGCTAGAAAGTTTTGGCTATCGGGTTTTGGCTATAAGTTTTTTTTTGTATAAGTGGGAACCTTGTTTTTTTTGTGTGTGTTCAGGTACTACTTTATTACCCCGAGGATTAAAATTAAATTGAACAATTGAAGATTAGCATTACATATCTAGGGTTGTATATTTCTTAAGTTTTTGCTAATAAAGACTACTCAAAAAAAACTTAGCACAATTATTAAGATCTAGCACAGTTTGGGTTTCGGCTGACGAGCACAAGCTTAATGATTTTTGATTGAGGGGAAGATTTACTGAACAATTGAATCATGCCTGTTTTTGTTTTCAGTTTTTGGTCTAGAAGTTTTGTAAATTGACTATAGTTTTCAAGCATAAGCACAAATTGGATGTGAAAAAAATTTTTCGAAATAGATCTAGCCTGACTTGGCACTTGAGGTAGACTGGCACTTGATAGACCGGCACTTGGGCTCTGACTATGCCACTTTTGGTAGACCGGCACTTGGGCTCTGACTATGGCACTTGAGGTAGAACCGCTGGTTGTGTCCTGGGCTGCGTTGTGGGGGGCTGAGTTGTCCCTGTTGACTTACTGTAGACTTCGATATTTTTTTCAATTTTGTTCGCCAAATATTCAAGACAATTTGATGAACATGTCTTAAAGGTCACTTTGTTGAAGTCAAATTTATTATTACTCATTATTGCGGAACAAATCATGCTATTATTAAAAAAAATCACCACATTTTTCTTTAATTCATGTGAGACAATTCATGTCATGAATAAGAAAGTAGAATAAATGTTTCAAGTTTCCAATCGGAAAAAAAAACAAAATCAAAACAAAAATTTACAGCTTTTGTGCCATTCGAGACCAAAGTATATAATAGGACTCCAAATCGTCATCTTTCTTATTTTAAAAAAAGAAATTTATCTTAAATTGGCAGTGCACAATTTATTTCCTGTTATTTTACTTCAAAAACTGTTTTTTTTTTATATGAAAAAAAGTTTCTTTTCTGTTCAGATTCTACCAAAAAATTTGCTCTATTTTTGCTTCATTCTTTTTTTGGTGTAAAATAACAAAACAGTTCAAAAACGCATCACAAATTAATTTTGATTTCAGTTTCTTCTTTTTTTAAAATTAAGTAAAACTAGGTCACAATTTCATCTTTTTTAAAAATTAACTAAGACTAGGTCACAATTGATTAAATAATAGAAATATAGTCCGCTGTAATAATTAGAATTGGCGGCCGATCTTTTTTGTTTTAAGAAGATACATTTCGTTTTTGAGCAATGCTTTTGATTTTTTTTCAACTTCATAGTTTTTCTTCGAAAAACAGTTTTTTTTGCCAATAAAACCATTTTTTTTGTTACCGTATTTTGTAGTTTTCAGTGTAAAATTTCAAATGCACATTTGTTTCACTTCTTGTTTGTCAAAACCAAAAAAAAAACTTTTTAAAAAATTAAACTTTTTTTTAATGAATAAACAAAAGATGAATAAACCTTCAAAATCTTTTTTTTATTTGCAAATGTTTCAATTGATTTATTGAACAGCGTAGCCTTTTTTTTCTTACTGTATTAACACTGTGAAAACTTCATTAAATAAAATAAGTTATTCTTAACTACACTTTTTTGAGTTTTAATTTAAGTTGGAATTAACTTGATGGTAATTTTAAATCAAAAGCCACCCGACAAACTTAAGATCATTTCTAGGTAACTATCAGTTCTGGACATCCATAAAACACGTATTTTTGAACATTAATTTTGTTAAACTTTAATTATCAGTTCTTCAGTTCCATGAAATACGTATTTTTGAGCATTGAGTGTTCTGTTGTCTGACACAAATACAGTTTTCGTTTATTTATTTTTTTTTGCGTCTGACAACTGCATTTGTCTTGCAGAAGCAGTGCTCTCTAATAGATCGTCCGCTCACATCTGCTGGTTGTGACTCGTTTAATCTCGGAGCATCAAAGGTTCTTTTTTAAGGCTACAAAAGCAAAATCGACCATCGTAATCGTTAACGCTGTTTGGAATATGTCTTTTAGAAATTTTCTGGCTTGATTAGGACTATTTAGCCCCGCAAGAACGTTTCAAAGCTAAAAATTTGACCATATTTCTCATCAAATGAGTAAAAATCAAAAGCTGGTGACTGCAGTTGGATTTCTAAGTATAACAGTCTGATAGGCCACGTTCTGTTAGCATGCGTTTGGTTAATCAACTACGGCAGTAGAACGGTCAGCATACTCGTCCTATGGAGAAAATCTCAAAGTGTCGTTTTCTTTTGATTTTTCAATTTCATCAAAAAATTAGCGCTTCATAAATATATATGATCGTTGAAACCACTATCTTAAAAATGACATTTTGCGTTCATATTTGATGACATGAACTTAAACTCAATACGATAATTTCATTTTATTTACGAAAACATCACCAGTTCAATTCGCAGAGGAGTAGGTTATTATATAATTAACTGTTGAAAAAAATCATTCCTCATATCTAGATTGGGTTGCATGCAAAAAAGAAAATCAGTCAACTTTTCAAGTTTACGTTTGCTGAAAAAATGGCTGCTTAAAAATCCAATAACTGATCGTAAAATTACGACTCAATAGAGGTGCCCTTAATACAGGGTTTATCCAGAGAACTCGATTTGATTACCTTCTGAAAAATTTACCTTCGGGCTGTAAGACAAATACACTGTTTCTATTTCAAACGCTTGAAAAAGATAGTTTACTGTATTAAT